CAAATATATATATATATATATATATATATATATATATATATATATATATTTGTTCAGGAGATGAGAAATAACAATATAATATATCGTTTCAACTTATTTTTAAATTTTGTCAAATTTCATTTGTTCCAAGTTTTGTGGTAAAAATAAATAGTGCAATAATAATAGTATTTATATAATATATTCAAGTTGGTTTAATGTATAAAATAATATTAATGAAAAAAAATATATATATTTCTTAGTTTTTAGCCAAAATATGGGATTCCCGATCCCAATCCCGAATTCCCGAAATATTTAGGGATACCGATATTACCGGGATTTAATATTATGGGACGGGATTGGGATTTAAAATTTCTATCCCGAATCCCGAAATCCCGATCCCGAAAATCCCGAATTCCCGAAATCCCGTCCCGAACTCACCCCTACTTTTTTCGACTCATATCGAAACTTTCAATACTTAAGTCCTCCAAATCTTGCCAGATTTGATTCGGGCTTCCACTCTCTCTCATCATTTGAATAGTGCACCAAAACTCACTGAGTTCCTCGTTTTCCCTTTCTTTGTTCTGAATTCCTCGAGGGAACCAGCATGGAAATATGATTCTCGGGCGACAGATACGAAACAAACCATTCAAAAAAGACACAAGTGAAGGTACATTAACAAAACTCAATCTCAAAAAATCTACCACAATTGGCTTATTATTACCACCACCATTATTAATAATGTCTTGCTCTAGAATATCTTGTTCAACGTGCATATTGCCAATGGCGAGATGGAAAACACTCAGTAAAACTACGGAATTACGTAAAGCCTGGAGCAATTTACTTAGTCCGAGGAACCATAACCGAGCACCACCTGCGTAATCCCGAATATACAGTTTCAGAATTGACTCCACGGAAGTTGGTGCGAAAGTGACGGATGGCATAAAACATCCTGAATAGTAAAAATACTCTATGTTTGGGGCATCGATACATAGCTCAGATTGTTCGATTGAATCGCTAGAGAATATTTCCACCATGTCTAGACACCAAGTCTTTAGATTATCGAACTTATGGATGTGAAACCTAATCTTACTGCCTATAATCTCCATTTTCTCAAGACTTGGGAAATCGATTTCAACGATGCATTCGTCTATTCTTGGAGTGTTGCGATTAATAAAACTGAATTTCTTGAGATATTTGAGAAGCTTCTTCTCCAACTTTATATTTTTCAAACCCTTACACTCTCTAAACCACATAGTAGTAAGCAAAGGGCAGCCCGAGACTATCTTTTCAAAAATTTCTTCCTCGATCAAGACATTTTGGAGACGAAGTACTTGTAGACGCACAAATGGTATATTCTCAGGAATATTCTGGCCCAAATTGCACCTATTCAGATGCAAATACTCGAGTGAATCGGCTTTAAAGACTACTGACGACAGATCGGTAATTCCTGGAGTACGGTCTGAAATAATAGAGAGAGAAAACGCCTTTACGCCCATACCTGTGAGTAATGGGACCCATTTCTCGAGAAGCAAAACCGATTCGTGATGCGAATAATCTTTGCCTAGCAGCGATGCATAAAGGCGAAATTTCTCCAATGACAAACCTTGATCGTAGTATTGTTGTAAAGTTTTGTCAACGGTTAATAGAAAATCTTGTTTGTTACCTTTGAAGTTGATGTCGGAAAAATCAAGATTGGGACGAGTGCACCAAACGTAGCGCCATGAGTTGGACAAGACAAATGTTCGGACAGCATCTTCTTGAGAGAGAAAATACAGTATTCTATGCAAGATGTCCTTTGGCAAATCCGATATTCTGTCCATCGACATGCAATTACAGTCCTTTCCCTTGGTTTTTTTCATGCCTCTAACAATTACTAGTGAATTTTTCTAACACGGAAAAGTGAAAACCCTAGTTTATAATACCCCTTCAATCATTAAGATTTGGTTTCGATAAATTCCCGAGTAAACAATCTTGAGGTGAGGAACATGCCTTTTATATTCTTCTTTTTCCTTTTCGGTACTTTAAGGTCTCGTTTGGGTACCAAGATAAGATTAAATAATACAATCGCATTGCGTCGTCAAGAAAGACCAAAAAACTGTCGAGAATAGTTTTCCCGACTGTTTGAGACCGTCAAGATAAAAGGCGTCGTATATACTAGAAGTAAATTATAATGCGATAAACAGACCTTTTATTTCCAAACAACTGAACAACTTATAAAAACTAAAAGTAACTTATAAGCTACATATCCAAACACCTTAAAAAATAATTTTTAAAATAAGATCTAACAGCTTATCAGCTCCTAAAACATCTTATCAGATGTAGGAGCTTATAAGATGTTTTGAATAAGCTTAGCCAAACAGGCTTTAAATAATACAATCGCATTGCGCCGTCAAGAAAGACCAAAAAACCGACGAGAATAGTTTTCCCGACTGTTTGAGACCGTCAGGAAACCGTGTGCATTGCACGTGAACTAGCACGCACCATTGCACGTCGTATATACTTTTACATGTAAACTAGCACGCACCATGTGCATTGCACGTGATGATGTATGATTTTACTTATTATATATATAAATTTATAATTAAAAAATAAAAGTTAGAGATGATATTTAAAAATAAAATAAAAAAAGAAGTAAACTTAAGAAAGTACAAAAAATAATGTTCGGATTATGTATCTATATAATGATGAAATACGATTATTTTAAAAATTGAAATGAAGAAGAATATAAAAAGAAGAAAAAATAACTAAAATATTTTTTTATATATATTATTTCATATATGACCACATATATTTTTCTTTGATTTTAGTGATAGTTGAAACAATTTTATTGTAATGAGGTTTTTACATAAATATTTTTTGTTACTTATGTTATGGTCTCCTTGGTCAAAATGTTGACATTTTAACTTTGAATATTAATTAGTCTTATCTATTATTCTTTTTATTTTATCTTTTATTTTTATTTATTTAGGGATACATCTGTTATTTGTGACAGCTGTTATAATATTATATATTTAAATATAACAATAATTTTCTTAAAAAAATTATATTTACTTTCCGAATGTTAAAATAGTTGAGATTCTAATGTAGGAAGGCTTAAAATAGTTGAGATTCTAATGTAGGAAGGCTCATTGATAAAACATATTACATTATCTAATAGTATATAAAATAAAGTGAAAAATGTATTTTCAAGATCGAAATCAGTAATGCTAAATAAATAAATGAATTATAAAATAGCAAGGTTGTAAAAAGCGATAATCGGATCAGAGGCGGTCAGGGACCGACTCACGATTAATCGGTGCGGCGGTGATTAAGCGGTGATAAATCGAAATAAATTGGTTTTAAAAATTTAATATGATATATTTCTAGATATTATTTATAAATACTCAAAACATATATAAAAATATATTTAAACATAGTTTTATCTACATCATGTATATCTCCTGATAAAATAATAATAAGATCATATTACATAAGTATCATTATAAAATATGAATAAAAACGCAATTTTTTTGAATTTACATTTATTCTTGAACATTCCTAGCATATATCATTAGTTTTTTAACAATAACAGTTAACATAAACAAAATAAAACATAAACTCATATTTTGTTTATTAAAATCTCAACTTCTATTTTGAATATAAAAAAAATCGATTTTTGACCGATTTTTGGCCGATTTTCGTCACCGAAGTTTGACCCGCCATAAAGGTTTGACCGCCTCGGACCGGCTCATGCCGTTTCGTACCGCAGCAAAAAACCGAGTTTTCAAACCTTTACACTAAAATCGTAAAGGATTTTTACCGCCTCTGCCTCGGAGACCGATTAATCGGCCACCTCGGCCGATTTTTAGAACACTGTCAAATGGTAGTAATTAAAAAATAGGGAGCCAGAGACAACTCCATACAAAATGACATATTTATTTAGTAACATCTTGAGTTAGTTAATTAGTAAATGAGCCGAGCCAGCTCGTGAGCTTGATTAGCCGGCTCGACAAAAATTCGTGCTCAAACTCGAGTCTTTCGAGCTTGAGCATTCTGATGTGTTCGAGCTTGAACACGTCCTTAGTTGTTCATAAGCTCAAGAGCAGTCTCACAAGCTTTTCTGCAAATATGTTTATGTTATTTTAATATAAATTCAACTTATATATAATAATAAATATATGTATAGTTAAATAATAAAGTTTATTTCTATTTTTACATAATAAATTATTTTTTATATATGATAAATAATTTATAATAAAATATAATATTATCATTATGTAAAAATAATATAAAAGAATTATAAAATGAGCTAAGCTCGAGCTTGACACGCTCGACTTGGCTTGTACTCGAGCTTGAAGTTCGAGCTCATAAAATAAAAATTAGACGAGATCGAGCCGATCTCGCCAAATTTGACTGGAGCTCGAGCTCGAAAAATTCGGCGAGCTTAATTGGTGCATAATTTATAGGTAAAATCTAAATTGACTGGAACTTGGCTCGAGCTCGACTCGTTTACAACCCTATGTTATACTATCCAATTTAACTATCTATAGGTAATAATTAGTGCATAATTTATAATTTTATTATTACCTTGGTGTTGTAATATCTTCATCATATTATTTTTTTTTTATTCTTGAAATTAAGATATGTTTTGTGAGTGGAGTCATAAAAATAAAATCCAATTTTTTTTTTTTTTTTATCAAAGACCTATAAAAAAACGAGTTGTTCAAATTTTTTTATCAAGATATATAAAATCAGTAAATTTAAATTTATGATTATGATATCCTCGTTTGAATTTAAAGTATATTTTTAATTATAGCATGTTTCACTACCATTTTATTTTACATAAAATGAAAATTAGCAATAACCCCTCATCTAGGAAAATATGTTAAGGAAACACCCTTCAAAAAATAATTAAAGAAAACCCCTTAGTTAATAGGGCAAATGGCAAAAAGGCCCATCACATGGGACTTAAATGCATTTTGGTCCACAAAAAAAACAGTCTCTCAATTAAGCTCATCCCCATGTCTTTAGTCTAAAATACCCTCAATACTATAATTCTTATCAATTCCACCCATTATGATCTAACTTCCTTAATATTACACATTGACCCCGGATTTAAACAAATATATCACATTAACCCCCAATTTTTTTTTTTCAGAAAATAGTTTTTTTTTTCTGAAATGTCCAGATTCCGACCAGATTCCGGCGTTGACTTTTTTTTTTTTTTGAATTTTTTTTTTCTTAGAAGAAAAATATATTTTAATTAATATTACTGTTTTAGCTACTAAATTACTATCTCTGACAGTAATATTACTGTTTGGGACAGTAATATTATGAATATTATTTTTTTCCGAACAGTAATATTATGAATATTATTTTTCCGAACAGTAATATTATTAATATTATTGTCTAAGACAGTTAAATTACTGTTGAAGACAGTAATTTAGCATCTAAGGTAGTACTAATAAAAAAAAAATTAAGAAAAAATATGAAAAACAGCCAATTAACAGTTAAATTACTGTCTCTGACAGTTAAATAACTGCTGGAGACAGTAATTTAGCAAACAAATACAGTAATATTAATTAAAAATATTTTTTTTAAGAATAAAAAAGTCAATTAACAGTTAAATCACTGTCTCCAACAGTTAAATAACTGCTGGAGACAGTAATTTAGCAACGAATACAGTAATATTAATTAAAATATTTTTGAAGAGAAAAAAAAATCAATTAACAGCTAAATTACTGTCTCCGGCAGTTAAATAACTGCCGGAGACAGTAATTTAGCAGCCAAGACAGTAATATTAATTAAAAAAAAAAAAAAAAGTCAACGCCGGAGACCGGCCGGAAAAAAAACATTTCAGAAAAAAAATATTTTCTGAAAAAAAAAATTTGGGGGTTAATGTGATATATTTGTTTAAATCTGGGGTCAATGTGTAATATTACGGAAGTTATAGCATAATTGGTGGAATTGATAAGAATTAGGGTTACAATTGGGGTCAAAATTGAAATTAGGGTTAAAATTGGTTAATTGATGAAATTGGGCTAAATTGGGGTGTAAATCATGAAATTGGAGTTAAATTGGGTTCCAATGAATTGAGGGTAATTTCGGTATATGTACGAGGATTCTCCTTATTTGCACATAAGTTCGACTGGGCTGGATTCATTTGAAAGACCAAACAAGTTGGAAATCGCTCTTTTAATTAAGTGCCCTTGTCATGGCCTATTTGCCATTACCCCTAGTTAATATCCTACTCAAATACTAT